ATCTGCAACCTTTGTCAACAAGAAAAATTCGCCATAATAACATTTCCACACCAACAAAAATCTTTTAACCCAGAAATCGGAAATTGTGTCCCGTTGTATAAATAAATAAAATTCCTTATGAGTTCATTTGAAATGGGATAAAAAGAACGTATGTATATTTCATTTAAATACCACCGTTACATTTCCAATGCACTTGATTTTCCTCTCCTCCTCCTCACCTTCTATCACACCTCACGTCGTGCGTTTATTAATTCTTTTTTTTTTTAATATAGCATTCATGATTTTTTTGTATTTTTTAAAAATGAAGCGTTAGGAAATTAACTGACCAAAATCGCTTGAAGATATCGAAAGGGTGAAACCTAGGGTAGCGGAATCGGCTGATCTCCTAATTTTATATATATATATATATATATATATATATATGTGTGTGTGTGTGTGTGTGTGTGTGTGTGTGACGGTGGAGCAATAAGTCTGAATGTTAATCAGATATCATGATTCGACATCAATAATAGAATTAAGTTCAATTCTCGTGAATTCTGCAGTTAATGTAAACAAGTTTTTGCCAGACAAATTCTCAATACTACGGACGCATATGATCTCAACAGTGAGGGTAGAGCTGTCATGGGCGCTCAGCCTTTCTCCTGAGTTGTAGGCAGCATCAGATTATGCCTCATCGTAAATCGGGTCGCCGGGTTCTAGGTAATTTTTCTTTGAAAGTGCCTCAGCAATTTTCACCACAGAAGACTATGCCTCAGCATCTGCTTGAGAAACAAGGAACGGTTGATTGTTTCTGGTGAAAAGATTTCTCAATAATTAAATCTGAACTCTTCATATAATATTATCATTAATGACAATGTGATCAACACACGCTGCTGCTGCGTATGATTTGTTTTTTATTTAGTCATTCAAAAATACAAAAATAATTTTTAAAATAAAATGATTGTAAACGGCTTGTTTCTAAAAACAAAATGCTTACACGCAGAACTTCCATGGTGAAATTCGCCAATGATTTAAAATGATGACAATTTTATCGTCAGCGAAAAGTTACAAAATTCAAGAAGCATTTTATTTAATCATTGTTTATGTATTTGGTGATGTTTGAGAGATTGTGTGAGCGAACAAGTGAGAACGAAAGACAACTTTTTATAAACGCTGTTTTCGTCATTAAATTAGCCGTGCCATTCAGAAAGCCAAATGGGCCGCATGAGGGTCGGTGCTGCATGAGGGTCGGTGCTGCAGTTTGACCATAACTGGGTTAGAACTTACAAAGCATTATTCTAGCCTGTGCGTATATAAAATCTATTTTCTCTCTTTTTTTTATTTCGAGCAAACCAACATTAAAATCCCTATTTTCGAAAACTTCCCTCTCCCCCAACCCACATCATTTTAGATCTTTTATTAATTCTCAATGGGCATCCGAATAAATTATGAAATGATGTCAGTGTCTCCTTTCAGTCAGTAGGAAGGAGGCTGGAGAAGACATCAACCGAAAAAAAAAAAAGAAATAAAAAAGTTGAGGATACTAATTTAAAGAATTAACTGAAAAAGTGTACATATTTTTAAAAGATCCTTCTTAAATATTTTCCTCCTTTTTTCAACTGCACTTTTCAAATCATAGTTGATAATGTTGTAACAAAGCTCAAACATTATAAATTTTGCATTAATTAATAAAAATCTTCATGAATAACACCGATTTTAAAAGTAGATAATTAACGTTAATAAACGGAACTAAGTCGAAAAAAATCTACTGAAAGAAAGTAACTCAATTCATTAATAACTTTAATTTTTTATGCCGTTCTTTCTGTGATTTAAATTTTGCTTATTGAGTGTTTAGAAAACGGGCCCCAGCTTGTGTTTCCCAAATTATTTGTAGACTTGTTGGGCTTATATGTTGGGAGCGTAACCGATAAGATCTTCCCGAAACACGTTATTTGAGGGATTAATGATGGCCCCAATTACTAATTATCAGATAAGGTTTTTATTTTTATCAGATACGGTTTTTCTTACCATAAGAAGATGATTTTTTATCGTTTCAGGAAAAATTTTCCTGGAATTTTCTTGTTTTACTATCAACTTTATTTTTTTCATTCCTTCTTTTTACATTTTCGGCTGGTTGATTTTTCAGATTACATTACAGTAATACGGATTTCAACCAGAATCGAACCCGTGTCCTGTAATATGGGGGTATAAACTAAATCATATGCTTATACCAACTTTGTAGATAATTCTTCTTCACACGTATCATTTACTTAGAAGCAGTACTATAAGTATCTCCCAGGTTACAGGCTAAATAGTAAGCTTGACAGTCTTCTGTAACCTTGGTTGACAATCAGTCTATGAGAAATACAACTCTGAATTCACAACCTACGATGGCGGTAAACCTGTACAAATTTTGTGACCAGCGGAGCTGAATAAGGGACTCGACACGCTGATTGGTTAAGAAGATCAAGTTGACTTTAAGGTAAAATGTTTTTAAAAAAATATGAACAAAATGGTGAAGGTATTCTATAAAAATATATGGAATAAGGCAAATGTTTTTTGGTGGCCAATTTGAAGCTCCTGCGGCAGTGCTGGATTTAGCCTAGGGCTTGATAATGTAAAGGGCCTCCAGCCAAGGAGTATAATATTTTTAACACTGTCATAAGCCTTTCTTACACACCTTCTCATAATTCATTGTAGACCCTAAAAAACCTTTCAGTAATTTTCCTTACGTTCCATTTCAGAATAATTCTGTCTTAAGCCAATAATTCGATACTAGCATTGATTTTTTATAGATTTGTTTCATTTTAACATTCATGCATATTTTCAATCACATAATGTATTTAACAATAACGCCTTACGTCCTTTAGAGGAGGAATTGCTATTTGTGGAATTTGTGACATAGGCTAGGGCTCCTCTTCATATAAATTCGGAACTGTCTTGCGTGCAATTATAAAGAATGAATTTTAGCAAGCGAACATAAGAGACGGACTATTGTTTTAGTTTGGCAAAAGGCCAAAGAATGAAATATGATAAATGAGTTGCCCAGTGAAGATCGAAGGCATTAGCTATGTGTCAGATTAATTTACCTATCATCGTGCTGAAAGCTACCTTATTTAGCTGAATATGGCACAAGGCCAACATTTTAGGATTTATAAAGGGACAAACTAGCTAAAAAGAACTTGCGATTTTAGTTTGTTAACTCTCTAGAGCAATGTTTCTCAAACTTATTAAGCAACGGCCCACCTAGGAGCAGATTAAAATTAAGCAATGACCACAACCCCGCCAGGAGCAAATTAAAATTTCACGGACATTTAGCAAAGTTTTTAAATGGTATAAATTTAAATATTATGAAATAAAACCGTAGATTTAAAAAAAAATACACACACAAATATGAACTTATAATTATTTCAATGTTTCTATTCAACTATTTGTGCAACTTATTTAGTGTGAAATCTGTACCTGGTGTTTTTTGTTTTTTTTTTTGTTTTTTTTCGCGATTTCTTCAATGCTTGGTCGAATGTGTGATAAGCAGACCCCCATTTCTTCTTCAATTGAGCGTAGTCTTCCTCGCTTCTTATTTTTGATTTCATTTAGGGTTGAAAAGCCTAACTCACATAAATAAGTAGTAGAAAATTGCAATAAAACTGATAAAGCCTTTTTAGCTTACGTGGGATAAAAGTTTAATATTTATTCACAGCAGTTGAGAATCACTGCTCTAGAGTAAGTGACCTAAATATTTACTTTTTCAGCATTATAACACGGATCTACGTATAAAACGCACCTAAAATTTGACAAAAAATATTCAATAAAAAATAATATTTAGGTGAGTGTTGTGAATATGGATTATCTCCCCCTTGATAATCCAACTATAAAAGCTATACATTTCCGTTTGTTAGGTAGACTAGTAGTAGCATTCTTAATTGAATAAACGATTACTAGACAGAATCTCTTGTCCTGTTTTCATTACAGTGAGGATTTATTCATACATAACATTTTTTCAAATATTTTAACATGACTCGGATTTGTAATCATAATCTAATAATTTGTAATCCAATATATTTCCTTTCAGGCTCATCACGGGACTAGATGAGTGAGTCAGAGTTGTTTAGTGGTTAGTCTAGTACTGGTAAACCAATCATCGGGATATATGACGCAGGGTGATGCTTGCGCAATATGGCGGGAAATTCAGCTGTTTTGCACAGGCCTATGATTTTCAGGGCACCTCGTGAAAATAAAATTCACTAGCAATAGCGTGCGAAAGAAAATATGATGTAATATCAGGGAAAGCCTATAATCACTTGAATTATTGGTCCTTAAAAGACTTGACGAAAGATTCTCGACCAAATTGATCCTTTGACGAAGATGACCGTTTCTCGACCTTCAGTTGGTAACGGCATCTCTCTTACTGGCTCTTAAGCTATCACGTTACGAATCACGTGAAAGTTTATCGGCGGATCAAAAGATCAGAATACAAGCCGACGCTTTTCTATTGTCATAAAACATTGGGAAAATTTCTGATTTCTTGACAAATAATAAAAGGAGCAAGTAAAAAAGGTGAAGGTGAAAAGTATACTTTGCTAATTCGACTGATATTTACAGAATGAAGCAAAAAGCGAATGGATTAAAATGAAAAAATATTTAAATAAAATGTTTGCAATAATTTCTGTACATTGACAATATTTTTCTTTGTTTTTAAATATACTTCTACAGAACATTTATTAGCTACCACTTTTCATTATAGATGACATAGAAATAATCTGTCAGTAATTCTTACATTAATTCCTGGCCACTAACAATATCTTCCTAGGTTTTAACATATAAATTAGTGAGTGAATGTAGAAATTGCGACAAATTTAAATTCTTTTTTAAATTTATTTATTAATTTTTCAGAATGTTATTTTAATGTATCTTAATTTGATGGAAAATCTAATGTTTCTTAATTTGAGAAACTCGTTCTCATTTGAAAATCGTTCATCAATGGATGTCATCAAATATTAAAATCTGCTGGTGTTCGTCACATGACTTTAGACTTACTCCTACTGTTTACCAAATCTTGCAATTCATATGGTTTGTCTTTCAGTCGCTCTTTTTTTTTTTTTTTTCAAAGAGCGACAGAACTTAATCTCACAAGTGAGGTGGAGTTAATATTCTACAACAATTGTACGAGAAACGTTTCCAGTATTATTGTTTGTTGTATGTTTCCGTTTTCTTTTTCTTTTCTTTTTTTTTCTTGTCTTATTATCTCTTCTTTCATTTTTCTTGTTTCCCCTCATGCAGTTTTTCGTTCTTTCGTTCCGTTTTCACTCATGGTACCATTTCTTTCTTTCTTTCTTTCTTTCTTTCTTTCTTTCTTTCTTTCTTTCTTTCTTTCTTTTCTGTTTGCCTTCATGCAGTATTTCTTTCTTTTCTGTTTGCCTTCATGCAGTATTTCTGTTCGTCTCCATGCTGACGTTCGTTCTTTCTTTTCTGTTTGCCTTCATGCAATCATTCTTTCTTTTCTGTTTGCTTTCCTTGCAATTTTTCTTTCTTTCTTTTCTGATAGCTTCATGCAGTCTTTCGTTCTTTTCTGTTTGCCTTCGTCTGCTCCTTCTTTTCTGTTTTCCTTCATGCAGTCATTCTTCCTTTCTTTTCTGTTTGCCTTCATTCAGTCTTTCGTTCTTTCTTTGTTTTCTGATTGCCTTCATGCAGTCTTTCGTTATTTCTTTTCTGTTTGCCTTCATGCAATCTTTCTTTCTTTTCTGTTTGGCTTCCTGCAGTCTTTCGTTCTTTATTTTCTGATAGCCTTCCTGCAGTCTTTCTTTCTGTTTGGCTTCATGTGTTCCTTCTTTTTTGTTTCCCTTCGTGCAGTATTTCTTTTCTGTTTGCCTTCATGCATTCTTTCTTTCTTTTCTGTTAGCCTTCATGCAGCCTTTCTTCCTTTCTGTTTTGTTTTATTTCTTTTTTGAATGCCTTCTTTGCAGTTTTTCTTTCTTTCTTTCTTTTCTGATTGCCTTCATGCAATCTTCCGTTCTTTGTTTTCTTATTCTTTTTCTTTCTTTGATGTACAGTCCTGCTTCATCATGACTTTTTTCATTGTTTTTAAATATATTTCTTACCTTATTCTTTATTTTTGCGTCATCTGAAGCAATTATCCTACGACCCTTATCCTAGCCAGCATCTCACCAAGAACGTCTGCTTTTTTTTAAATGAATAACTCAAGCATCTATGAGAAAGAGAGACAAAGAGAGAGAGAGTGGGGGGGGGGAGAAAGAAACAGAGAGAAAGAAAACTATTGGGCAAGAAAAGTATTCACGCATGCGCAACAACAATATCAGTCTAAACAAAATGGCGTACATCTGCAAATATCTTTAATTTTCCCCGGTTCCTATGTTCCGTTCTCATCACTGCTCTCGGCTCTTGGAGCCGACCGTGCCCCAAACTGTCTACATACATAGGTTAGGGTTGGAGTCAGGGTTGAAATGTCCCCTCCATCCCAGCTTCAACCACCCGCTGCTCATGAATAGAATTAATTTGTCAGTAACGCTGAGTGTCTTACAACTTTTAGAAATTGTATCGCAAGATTGGCCAGTAGCGAATGACTTCCCGCTTTTTCCTTATTCACTTCCGACTTTCCAGCTTTTCCCTTCACCATCCTCTACAACTACTGCTTCTGTTTTTGGTCGTATTTGGTTAACTGGTCATTGTTCGATCGCCTTTCCTTCGCCAGGTTCATGTTCTTTATCCAAGAACCTTTCTCTTTTCTTTTTCAGTTTTTTTTGCTTGTTTCGATTGAATTTTCTCTTTTTTTATCGACTCGATGATTTTTTGTTTTATCGAGTTTTCCTTTATGTTTTTCTTTCTTTTTCTTCTTTTAATTTTTTTCTTCTTCTTGTGTTTATTCTTTTTTATTCTTCCATTTTCTTTCTAATCTATGCTTCTTCTTTTATAAAGGCTATTTCATATCTGTCTGAATTTTTGGGATGAGGTGTTATCATTATTTACATGCCAACTATTTTCATAATCTTTGCTGTCATCACAACGGTCCGTACCCTCCGGTCTTCATCAGGTGCTTGTCTCTCTGGGTAACCTTCAGGTAATTTTGAACTGAACCCTTTATTTAATTTACGGGGGTAGATTGTTTTCGTTCCACTCTCCTTGTCTAGGGATATCTAGTCTCGCTGCTATTTAGTATTGCTCTGTGCTCAGCTTTGATTTAAAACTGGATTTATTTTCCGAAATTCTTTCAAAGTAATTTATGACATAAGCGTATCTGAATTTTTTCTTTCTTAAAAGACGCCCTTGTATGACGTGAACCTATTTGAAATATATATATATTTTTTTATATCTTAGCTAATTTTTAATATTAGTTTGTTTAGAATTATATGCGTAGCGTAGTAGTTTCGGTTTGGATTGGGACGTATGTAAATGATTTCCTAAATAATTTGTTTATATAGTCTTCTATTTATAGCGTAGATATATTAGACTTCTTTAAATAATTTATCAAGATATCATTTATATTTATATTATCATAAAATTTTAAATCAGGGCTGGTAATTAAATGTATTTTTCTATTCATTTCACCCCAAGCAAAGCAACAATGCTACTACGATGCAGGCGGTGGGTTAAAAGGCGTGAAAGAATGAGAAGACTTTAGTGAGGAGAAAGGACAATAACGGAACAGAATTCAGAAAGACAGAAGATGACGATTGACGTTGCATTTGAACTTTTGAAGATTTTAGGCGTCAGGGAAGCAGGAAATCGGAAGGGAGTTTCACAGGCGAGAAGTGCTAGAAAGGAAACTATTAAAATAGACCCGACAGTTGCATCTAGCTAGATCAACATTAAAACGGGGAGACCTAGTTGTCAATCTAGTAGCAAGTTTAAATGCCTGCAATCGAGGCGCAAAGGAGAACAGCTCATCAGAACAATTGACATGAAGATATTTGTAGAAAAGACAGAGGGAAGCCACGTCACGTCAGTGGGAAAGTGACTGAAGTCAAGATGCCAGGTCAGGATCGTTTACATCACAGACCCTTCTTCGAATTTTGTTAAGATACTCGAGATATTCAGTAGGAGTTCCAGGCCAGATATGACAGTAGTGCACAGAGGAGTGGTTGATTTATAAATGTGCAAGAGTGATTCTGACGAAAAGAATTCTATGGCATGGCACAGTGAACCAACGTCTCTAGTAACAGACCAAATCATTGATTCAATATAATTAACTCATTGAATTCTAGTGAACTTTACCATTTATGATTAGTGGCTACAGTCTTAATTTAATAACAATATCACCTGAACACTACAAATTAATACAGAATATTAAAAGTTTTAAGTTTATAAATTATTTTAAGTTACCACCGCTTTCTTTGAAGTTACATCCTTATGAATATTAAAATTTAAAAAATGAAAAAAAAACCTTCTAAAATTTCATTATTCATCGAAGAAAAAACTTTCTTAAGACAATAGTGTCCATAATGTATTTTATACATAAAAACAATTAAAAGCTTTGCTTATTAAATAATATCTTATTGCATTTTTTATTTTGTGATTCAGAGCAAAATTTCTGTAACTTGGTGTCATTTTCTACAAAACAAAAAAAAAGAAAAAAAAAGAAGAAAATCATGATTCCCTTATAACGAATATAAACATTAAGCATTTCAAAAAAGAATTTCTCAAAATTTTATAAAATTAAATAAATGGTGTTTTATAGATGTCAAAATAAATTACATAATTTCTAAAAAATAGACATTTAAAAAATAATTTCATTAATTTGTGAATTTATGTCCTGAAAATTTCATTAAAATCCGACAATTTTCTTATTTTTACAAGAATTTCAAAATCACTGTTTTGTGCCGCAAAAAGACGCTAAAATTGTCGATCCTAATTTATGGTCACCCGCTGATGCCAGGAAAAGAGAATTGTTAACCAAAATGTCGAAGGTTCTAAACGATAAAAAAAATTAAACTTTAATAGTAAAATAATTTCCTTCTTAATAATAACAAAGGTTTTAACAATAAAACTTTGTTTTATTAAGTTTGTGGCATTATTTCCGGATGTATGTTCATATTTTATCGAATCTTTGGAGGTATATATATATATATATTTGGAATAGAGCATAAATAATTTTGAATTTAGAGTCAATAATCTGTAAAAGTGCTTGACTTAGAATAGATTTATTCCTTCATTGAAGATTTCAATTTATAGCAAACAGATTTTTCCTCAATATTTACTATAAATTGAAATCTTCACCAACGAAGGAATAAAACTATTCCAAGTCAATCACTTTTACAGATTATTGACTTTAAATTTAAAATTATAATTATATATATATATATATATATATATATATATATATATATATATGTGTGTGTGTGTGTGTGTGTGTGTGTGTGTATCGCCTTATATATGTTGATGTCTTTGTATTCGAGCTATATCGTAGTGCTACAAATTTAGATTATCTGCAAATAATTTCAAACTTCATTTATTTAATCTAAAACTTGCTGAATGAATAAAGTTTTTAACGACCCAAATTTACGAAAAGAGAATAAAAACAAAAGAAATCTGAGTGAGTGACGTATATTATAGCTGCATGGGTTTCAGTAGCAGAAGATGTTACTTTAATGAGTAAGAAGAGGAGGGAAAAGGAAAATAAGAGAGTTGGTCGGAGAAAGAGGGGAGCATAAGGTTAATGGCGGAGGGGTGTAGGATGGTTGGATATGGGAAGAGTTCAAGGGTCAGCTTATTCAAATACATCATTCCCGAATTTGTATTATATTGCCTGTTTGCCCATCTTGGCGGGAATAGAAACAATATGGCGCGAGGAAATGAGGTGTGCTATTACAGCGGCCCTGTCCTGCCTCAACCAACCCCGACAGCCCCACACTCTTGCTCATTCAATCTGCATGTCTTCAACTTGAACCAAGCATTACATAGGTTTATGTAGGTGCCGGGAAGATGCTTGTAAATATTTTCATTATCATTCTTGCAGCTTCCTTTTGCTCGTCTCAATTTCCTTCTAAAATAATTCCTTAGTGTCAGTTCATATCTATCTATCTATCTATCTATCTATCTATCTATCTATCTATCTATCTATCTCATTCAGTCTTTATCTATTTCATTGTGTTCGTATTTACTACCAATCTATTCCCAAAGCTCATCAGTTTATGCATGTGTCTTAATGAATATAGACATACAAATATATGTACTTTATTCAGTTTACATAGCAGTCCTAAAAAGCTCTATGATATCAAATATAATCTTTGTATTAATACAGTATAGATAACACGAATGTCGCAACGTTAAAAGTGATTCTGAAGGAAAACTGTATTGGATTCAGTTCACAGCAAACAATCAATGGCCAATGACAAGAAGATCTCGATATTGTATAAAATGTGGAAAACTATATCTATATATATATATATATATATATATATATATATATATATATATATATATATATATATATATATAATATTTTATTACTTAAAACGTTATCTTTTGGATACTCGTATTTGAGTAGACGCTCCATTTATTTTTTAAGCAGAATATTTATTTATTCCGGCTTGAATATTAGAGAAAAATAAGGGCTCTCTGGCAAAACTCGAACCTGCGTTCCCCTAGAAGAAACCATCATTAGATCTGATGGCTTTGACCCCTTGGCTACAGAGTGCGTCGATGACCAAGCAAAATACAGAGTGCGTCGCTAACTAAGTAAAATAACGTTTAAGTACTAAAAATCTGTCGGATTAATAAATAAAAAAACTGTCCATTTCTTTACACACATACACATACACACACACACACACATACACATACACACACACAGACATATTAAATTTAAACGAGCAGCAAGAAAATGTGTATTATCTGACGGTAATATTTGCAACCAATGACAAGGCTCTATCGCAGTATTATCTTTATAATCCCATTTGTCTTTCAAATACTGGGTTAATTTACCACATGCGAATCATATGACAACACAGAATTCATTACCATGTTTAAAACACTTATTTGTACCTTGAATGTGGTAAGCAGCTATTACCCGCAACAACAGTTTAACGTGTAATCTGTTCTCTCTATCAACGTATATGTAAATCTCTCTCAAGACTTAAAAGTCATCTTCGTAGATATGCCAGGTCCTTGCCAGCCGAACAACATAAAATTGTTTCCCAGGCAAAATTTTCAGCACAAAATAATAAATAAGCAAAAATGAGTTCGCTATATTTCTGAGATGAGGTATTGTAATAATTTACATTATTTACATTGTTTGGACTGTTGTCATCATCTTGTCGTGTTCACGACCTTTTGTCCGTTGTACGCTCCATCCTTCTTCCGGTGACTGGAATTTCGAACTGAACCTTTTATTTCGACCACCAGAGTATATTGTTCTAGTTCTATGTGCCATTTCTCTTCTAGATGTTTCAGTTATCTCCCTTTAACTCGACTCTCCAAGTTTTTTGTTCACCACTGCCGTAGCCAGGTACTGAACTCATAATCCTTTGGGTAATACAGTGTGCTAGAGAAAAGCATTAATAAAAAAAAATTGCAATATGAGCTCTAGTAAAAAAAAGTTACTGAGACTTTAAGTTTATAAGCCTCAAAAATTCACAGGCTGATGTGCTGATGGACTCATAGCCTAGTGGATAAAATCGTTGGTTGAATCCAATGGCTCCTGAGTTCAATACCTGTCTACGTTATTGGTGAACAAAAACAACTTGGAGTTAAACTAAGACATCCGGAAGAGGAAAGGCCCGAAGTAAAGGATTTAGTTCAAAATTCACCTGAAGAAGGCCGGAGCGTGCAACGATGAGGACAACAGTACGAAGAATATAAATATTCTAAAAGGAAAGAGTCTTGTCCAATAATGAGTCAATTACCATTATATATATTAAATAAAGATGCAAGCAACCATGCATGCGTTGTATATAAATATTTTATTTATTTTTTTTTGGTGTTAACAAAACAGTGTTAAAACAGACAGTGTGTGTGTGTGTGTGTGTGTGTGTGTGTGTATATATATATATATATATATATATATATATATATATATATATATATATATATATATATATATATATATATATATATATATATATATATACTCGAGTTTTATGTTCAATAGAATCTTCAGGTCCTTATAATGGTGATGAACTGATCGTTAGTATTTTTAAAAAATCTGGGTCTCGTAGAAGCAAAGTGATATTAATTCGACATTTAATAATTATATAATTAGAGGTATAGATCTGGATTCATGTTACAAAATTATAAGGTGGGGATAAAAAATAAAATAAATTAAAAATAAAAATTGGAGACGCTGTGTAATATTTAAAAATAATTCGTTAACTATAAAAGGATAGCGAATCAATGGTGGGCTAACTTTATATAAACAAATAAGTATAAAAAAAGAAAAACTGTAATAACTAAATATTAATAGATTAAATAATTAATATTAATATATATATATATATCTTTGTTTATACATATCAAGATCACACACACACACACATATATATATATATATATGTATATATATATTTCCCCTAGACACATTTATGTTTGTTTCAAAACGTCCTCTCGTCTTTTTGCTATAATAACTTGTTTAATTATATAAGTTATAGTTAACCATAGCTTAGTATTTTTTTATATCTATCC